CACAGGGCGTTCAGTACAACCACCGATGACAGCAGCAAACTTCAGGTTGTGTAAACTCACAGTGTGTTCTACACTTGCCTACTGTTTTTGACTTCTTATGTGTTTTGCAAAAAACAAAGCTAAGGGAACTCTATGTCCCTTCTCTGTTAGATGAATGGAAATGCTTCAGCAAAATATAGAATAACAGTGTTGGAAGGGACCTTGGAGGTCTTCTAGTCCAACCCACTGCCCAGGCAGGAAACCCTACACCACTTCAGACAAATAGTTATCCAACATCTTCTTAAAAACTTCCAGTGCTGGAGCATTCACAACTTCTGCAGGCAAGTTGTTCCACTGATTAAGATTAAATATGGGTGATTAAAATCACCCAAATCAGGAAGGAATATTATTTTCCAATGTATCTGGCTGGCCTGTTCTCCAAAGCACCAGACAGCCGGAGAAGAAACGATGGATGGAAACTAATCAAGGAGAGAAGCAACTTAGAACTAAGGAGAAATTTCCTGACAGTTAGAACAAGTCATCAGTGGAACAACTTGCCACAAGAAGTTGTGAATGCTCCAACACCAGAAGTTTTTAAGAAGAAACTGGACAACCACTTGTCTGAAATGGTAGAAGGTCTCCTGCTTGGGCAGGGAGTTGGACCAGTGATGAGTTTCAATTTTTTTTACTACCGGTTCTGTGGGTGTGGTTTGGTGGGTGTGGCATAGCTTGGTAGGCGTGGCTTGGGAGTGGCAGGGGAAGGACACTGTAAAATCTGCATTCCCTCCCCAATCCAGGAGAAGGATCTCCATTTCCTCCCAATCAGCTGGGACTCGGGAGGCAGGGAATAGATGGGGGCGGGGCCAGTCAGAGGTGTTACTTGCCGGTTCTCCAAACTACTCAAAATTTCTGCTACCGGTTCTCCAGAACTGGTCAGAACCTGCTGAAACCCACCTCTGGGTTGGACTAGAAGATCTCTAAGGATCCCTTCCAACTCTGTTATTCTGTTTTGTTATTTTGTTATTGTGCCATCGGTATAGTGGTGGGTTGCTCCGGGTTCACCCCAGTTCGGTCGAATCGGTAGTGGTGGAGGCGGGAGGCTCCGCCCACCCACCATCAAAAACGCTCTGCGCATGCGATGCGAGTGTGCGCACCCGCACGCTACCGATAGAGAACTGGTAGCGCCGGGATTTGACTCTCACTACTGCATCGGTAGTATAGGGAGAGGAAGAAACCCGTTGTACTACAACGGTGCTTATTTAAAACGTCCGTTTTTGCAAATCTGTAATGGGCCCCTTGGCAGCTCATTTCTTTGCGTGTCTATATATCGAGCACCTGTATGTCACTCAGGATTAGAGGTTGAAACCCTGTATATCAATAAGTAGTTTAATCAATGCAGCTACAAAGGGGAATGCCCAAAAGATGTGGAATAGCGTAACTTTAAATTCATGGAACCAGGCATTTCCCACATAAGGCTAACAGCGTTCATTAAACTCCGCCAAGGAGCCCCATAAACCTGAAAAATTAGCTTGGTTTTAAGATCATAACAAATCTCGTAAATGTTTTATTATTTTTTTTTTAAAAAAGAACTGACACCACGAACGTTGCGCTGTTGGAAACGCCAATGCCCTCTATTTCAACATTCTATTTATTGTCCGTATTTCTTCTAGTACGTTTTAAAATTGCCAATAAAAGTAAAAGGTTGATTTTTGCCTAAAAATAATAATAATAAAACTTTTATTCCAAGCCATGAGAGTTTCCAAGGCAGGGGAATGTCTATTGAAAAAAAACAACAACCCCATAGCAAATGCTTTTAGGCTGAAGGTAGCAGCATTCAATTATTTTTGACAGAATAAATGCTTTTGCAACAATGTGAAATTTCTGTTTTTCGGGCTATCTGGGTTTTTTTTTTCCCTCTGAAAGTCACTTAGATCTATTTCGCTTTGAAATTCCGTATAGTTTTATGTTTCTGTAAGCTTCAGGTTTTACAGTGTCTCTTATTTCTTCTCAACCCTCTTGAGGGTGATTTTCACTTACGTTCAGCATACCGAAACAGATTTGCAAAAATCAATTTGTTGCATCTTGCACATTTCTGCTGCGATTCTGAGTTCCTCTTTTGTGAATTTTTTTTTTTTATTCTAAAAATGTAATTCATTTACTAACCCTTCTATCCTGCCAGGGTCCAGGGACTCCTTGGATGTAACATCCAATTTTTTAAAAAAAATCAAATTGCAAACTTCATTATCATCATCAGTGGCAAAAATTGATGGGGAGATACTACTACTGCTCTTAATCTCCAAATGTTTTTGTTGGAAGTCACTGTTGGAACGTATTTGTATGCAACAACTACAGTTGTATTCAAGCCAGTAGATGGCAGTATTTACAAGTTTGGATCTATGGTATGTACTCTATGCTCTTGTGGTCTAAGTAGAGTTTCCTGTTTCCTGTTGCTGTATAAAATCAGTTGAGCAGTAAAGCACATGGTGACTGTGCTCTTTGTTTGCTTTGTGTGGTGCTTTATGCAAACAGAATTTCTAACAGTTTTAAAAGACCTGGTCTTTGCTGCGGTGAAAAAAGAGAGGATGGATTTTAGGAGACCATATATTACACAGAGATAGGGTAGCTGTTGGAAAAGGCCCACAGGTAGTCCTCGACTTACAACAGTTCATTTAGTGACTGTTCAAAGTTACAAAAGCACTGAAAAAAGTGACTTATGACCATTTTTCACACGACCATTGCGGCATACCCGTGGTCACATGATCAAGATTCAGATGCTTGGCAACTGATTCATATTTATGACGGTTGCAGTGTCCCAGGGTCAGATGATCTCCTTTTGTGAACTTCTGACAAGCAAGGTCAATGGGGAAGCCAGATTCACTTAACAACCGTGTTATTAACTTAACAAGTTAATAACTGGTTAATAAATTAGCTCATCTGGCCTAACCTCCCTTTTTAATTGTTTTAAATTGGTTTTATAATTGGGGTATTTTAAATCTGGCCAATGTATTTAATGTATTTTAAATGGTTTTTAACATTTGTATTATGTATATTTTACTTTCTGGCTGTTCACCGCCCTGAGTCCTTCGGGAGTCGGGCGGTATATAAATTTAATTATAAATAAATAAATAAATAAACAACGGTAGTGATTCACTTAACAAATGTGGCAAGAAAAGTGGTAAAATGGGGCAAAACGCACTTCACAAATGTCTCACTTAGCAACAGAAATTTTGGCCTTGAATGTAGTTGTAAGTCGAGCACTACCTGTACTCATATTCCGTGGTGTGGTTAAATCTCTCTTTTTCTCCCTCCCTCCCTCTCCCTCCCTCCCCCTCTCTTTCCCTCTCCCCTTCCCCTCCTCCCCCTCCCTCCCCCCCCCTCCCCCCCCCCCCCCTCCCCCTCCCTCCCCCTCCCTCCCCCTTCTTTCTCCTCCTCCCTCTCCCTCCCCCTCTCCTTCCCTCCCTCCCCCCTCTTCTCCCTCCCTCCCCCTTCTCTCTCCTCCTCCATCTCCCTCCCTCCCTCCCTCTCCCTCTCCCTCTCCCCTCCCCTCCCCTCCCTCCCCCCTCTTCTCCCTCTGTCTCCCTCCCTCCCTCCTTCTTTCTTCCTCTCTCTCTCCCCCTCTCCCTCCCTCTCTTCTCTCTCCCCTTTCTAGATACAAAGCCTCCATCTGCACAATAACACTGTGAGGTAAATTAGGATGAGAAAACACTTTCCAAGTCTGTCACAAAACCTGAGCTTTTATTAAAAAACAATTTTTAGTGTGATTCAACACAAGACTTCTTTGGAAAGACGAGGCCGCCACTCAAATGTTCACACACAACATGCTTAATTGGGATCCTGCATTGGGAAGCCTGAACCGATCGGCAAGGGGATCAGGTTTTCCTGAGGGTGCCCCAACTTCCAGTTGGCTGAGTTGGCATCTTCCCCACAAGGGTTGCAGTTTAGGGCTCTTCCCGTGAGGTGAAAAGACTCACCGATTCCCACAATGGAAGAAGGGACGGCAACGTAAGTGGAATCGCCTTCCGATGGTGCAATGAACGATCTCGATTAAAGAAAAGATTCTTTCAAGGGGAAGCTACCTTTGGCTAGAAAACGAAAGAAAGGCTTCATTAATTGTGGGATTGGAGGAGTAGAAATGTTTATGATTACAGAAATGTTGAGCATTACTGAATTTTAGATCAAAAGGCATTTTGTAATTGTAACTGTATATGGGATAAAGTTGGGAGTCCCTTCCTTCTTTCCTTCTTTTTCCTTCCTTCCTTCCTTCCTTCCTTCCTTCCTTCTTTCCTTCCTTCCTTCTTCTGTCCTGTTCTTTATCTCCTCCTTCCCTGTCATGCATTCACTTCCTTCCTTCTCCTTTCCTGTTCTTTCCCACCTTCCTTCCTTCCTTCCTTCCTTCCTTTCATGTTACTTCCTTTTTTCTTCTCCTGTTATCTCCTCCATCCCTTCCTTTTATGATTCTCCTTCCTTCTCCTCCTCTCCTCTGTTCTTTATCTCATCCTTCCTTCTCCTCTCCTATTTTTCTTTCTTTCTTTCTTTCTTTCTTTTTCTTTCTTTCTTTCTCTCTCTCTCTCTCTCTATTTTCTTTCCTTCTTCCTTTTTCTCTTTTTTCTTTCCTTCTCTCTCTGTCTTTCTCTTCTTTCTTTCTTTCTCTCTTTTCTTTCTTTCCTTCTTTCACTCTCTCTTTCTTTTCTTTCTTTCCTTCTCCTTCCTTCTTTCTCTCTTGCTTTTCTTTCTTTCCTTCTCTCTTTCTGTCTTTTTTCTCTGTGTCTTCCTTCCTTCCTTCCTTCCTTCCCTTCCTTCCTTCCTTCCTTCCTTCCTTCCCTTCCCTTCCCTTCCCTTCCCTTCCCTCGCCTTTGCGCTCCGGAGGCTGGCAGCCCTTGGCGGCTCCGGGGGGGGAAGGCGGAGTCGTCCGGGGACGGGTGGGTGGGTGGGCGGGGCGGGGCCGAGTTGATAAAGGGCCGGCCGGGGCGCGGCGTCCGCTGAGCCTGGGCAGCGCCGGAGGTCCGCGGGAGCGCTCGGAGATGCGGCGCGCCAGCCGAGACTATTCCAAGTACCTGCGCGGCGCCGAGGAGCTGGGGACCGGCGGCGTTGCGCACGAGGGCGGCTCTGCCCCCTCGGCCTCCTTGCAGCCGGCCGGGCTTGCGGCCGCCCCGTCCGCCTCCCGTCCGCCTCCCGAGCCCTCCTGGCCGCCCTGGTCCTGCTGGGGCTCGGCCAGGTCATCTGCAGCCTGGCTCTCTTCCTCTACTTCAAGGCGCAGGTCAGGATGGAGCCTCCGCAAAGGCTGGGATCTTGGGGGGGGGGCGGGGGGGGGTCTCCATCCCAAGTCGATCTCTCCGGGCGGATCTCCCCACCGCCCCCAGATCGGTTGAAATCGTCCCTCGCCTTGCAAACTTCGCCTCTTCTTTTCCAAAGCGCTTTTCTTGGCTGGTGGATTTCGCCTCTGTTGCGCAAAGTTCTTCTCCCTTTCCTTGCGGATTTCACATCGATTAAATAGAATTAACAGGGTTGGAAGGGACCTTGGAGGTCTTCTAGTCCAACCCCCCTCCATGCTCAGGCGGGAAGCCTTATCTCCAGTGATGGGATTCAAGGAATTTAACCACCGTTGTCTGCCCTAATGATTTCTTCCAACAACCAGGTTGCCCAACTGCTCAGAAAGTTCAACTGGTTCTCCCGAAGCGGTGCGAACTGGCTGAATCCCACCGCTGCTTACCTCCCATTTCAGACAAATGGTTGTCCGACCTCTTCTTAAAAACTTGGGAAAAAGGGTTGGAAAATTCACAACTTCTTCCACGGTTTGTTTTAACTGTCAGGAAATTTCTTCTTAGTTCCAGGTTGCTTCTCTTCCTTGATTTTAGTTTCGCAAAGTTTCCTTGAAGATTTCGCCTCTTTCGCAAAGATCTCTTCTCTGCTTGCAGATTTCCCTTCTGTTTTGCAAAGTTCTTCTTTGTTTTGCAAATTTTGCATCTGCTGGGGCCAGGTTGGTGTTCCCAGGTTGAGCCAGATGGTATTGTTTCCCGAATCCTTCAGGATTCCCCCACTTGGTTCCAACTGCTGAGCCAGGGCAAGATTCCTTAGGGATGCAAAAGCCCCGGGAATGATTGGAGGGGGGATGCAAGGAGGGGGGGTAGGTGCATGTTAGAGACCAGCCAGGGACCAATGAACCAAAGAGCCTTGGTGGCGCAGCAGACTAAAGCGCTGTTAAGTAACACCAACTGCCTGCAATTACTGCAAGTTCAAATCTCACCAGGCTCAAGGTTGACTCAGCCTTCCATCCTTCCGAGGTAGGTAAAATGAGGACCTAGATTGTGGGGGCAATAAGCTGACTTTGTATAAAAAAGAACACCGCTTGGGGGGGCCCGAAAGCCCTACTAAGCAGGTATATAGAAAAAGTATGAAGGCTATTGCTTAACGCATTGTAAGCCGCCCTGAGTCTCCGGAGAAGGGCGGCATATAAATCAAACCAATAAATAAATAAATAAATAAACTGAAGGAGAGTTACTACTAGTTGGCAGAGTTGGTGTGGCATGCAGCCTTCACCTTGTCTGCTTTCTTTTGGATGCCAACAGGATCTTGAGAGGCAGCCACCCCCCCCGCAAAGTGTCAGAGGCAGCTAAGTTTAGTAAACGGGGCATCCTCCCCACTCCCCCGAGTTAGGAAGATATTAGAAAGGGAAAAAAAAGTTGAAGTTCAAATTGGGTGAAATTGTGGGCCTGGGTGAAATGAAATGGACACTCTGGTTTAAGTTGCTGAGGTGTGCCTGTGACAGCTGGACGATGGGACTGGGGATGTTTTTGTGTGTGGTGATCTTGGGTAGCTGAGTGTTGATATTGACAGGTGGAAGGTGTGAATATTTGCTATTCGGTTTGAAATCAAAGTGAAAGTGAGCATATTTTCACCCTCTCTCCCTCTCCCTCCCTCCCCCTCCTTCTCCCCTCCCTCTCTCCTCTCTCTCTCTCCCTCTCTCCTCCCTCTCCCCTCCCTGTCCCTCCCTCCCTCTTTCTCCCCTACCCTCCCTCTCCATCCCTCTCTCTCTCCGTCCTCCCTCTCTCCATCTCCCTCCCTCCCTCTCTCTCTCTCTCTCCCTCCCTCTCCTCCCTCTCCCTTCCTCCCTCTCCCCCTCTCTCTCTCCCCTCCTCCCCTTCCCCTCTCCCTGTCCTCTCTCTCCTGTCCCTCCCTCCCTCTTTTCCTCACCCTCCCTCTCCATCCCTCCCTCTCCCTCTCTTCCCTTCTTCCTTCTCCTTCCCTCTCCCTCCCTCTCTTCCTTCCTCTCTCTCTCTCCCCCTTGCTCCCTCTTCCTTTATCCTTCCTCCCTCCCTCTTCTCCTCAATCTCAATCACTTTCTCTCTCTCTCTTTAAGGCAGATCAGTTTTAGATCTCGATTAGAAGAGTTTAGCCTTCTTTGGCTTGCCCAATGCAACTGAAAGGAACGGATTTTAAGGCAGAAGAAGAGAGTTGGGTAACCTAATGGGTGTTTAGGGAGGCAAAAAAAGCTGGTTTGGAAACCGTGCATGTCCAGCTCCAGTTGTGGATGTCACGCCAAGGCTGTGGGTGTTCTGAAAAGCAAAGCCACATTTGGGATTTTAAAGAGGGGGGAGGGAGAGTCATTCTCCCCACCCCAGACAAGAGCCCCATTCTGCTCAGGGCTGCCAAGCCAACTATTGTCATCGCTAACTCCCAACAAGCTGTCCAGTGTGGTTAAGCGACCTGATAGTTAAGTTCCTCACACGCTGTTCCCCAAGGGACCAAAAGCCCATTTCTCCGGCTTCCTACATTCATGGCTGCATAAAGACGTTTGCAGCCTGGTCACCCCACCCCCAGCTCTGAGAAATGGACACATTTATCCCTGGGTCCACCTTGGAGTTTATTTACTGAAGGACAGAAGATGAGAGAGAGAGAGGGGGAGGGAGAGAAAGAGGGAGAAAGAGGGAGAGAGAGAGAGAGAGAAAAGAGGGAGAGAGAGAAAGAGAGAAAGAAAGAGGGAGAGGGACAGAGAGGCAAGGAGGGAGAGAGAGAGAGAGAAGGAGGGAGGGAAGGAGGGAGAGAGAGAGAAAAGGAGAGAGAGAGAGAAAGAGGGAGGGAAGGAAGGAAGGAGGGAGAGAAAGAGGGAGAGAGAGAGAGGGAAGGAGGGAAAGAGAGAAAAAGGGGGAAGGGGAGAGAGAAAGATGGAGGGAAGGAGGGAGAGAGAGAGAAGGAGGGAGAGAGAGAAAGAGGGAGGGAGGGAAGGAGGGAGAGAGAGAGAAGGAGGGAGAGAGAGAGAAAGAGGGAGAGAGGGAAGGAGGGAGAGAGAGAGCAAAGGAGAAAGAGGGAAAGAGGGAGGGAAGGAGGGAGAGAGAGAAAGAGGGAGAGAGAGAGAGAAAGAGGGAGAGAGAGGGGAAGGAGGGAGGGAGAGAGAAAAAGAGGGAGAGAGAGAAAGATGGAGGGAATGAGGGAGAGAGAGAAGGAGGGAGACAGAGAGAAAGGGAGGGAGGGAAGGAGGAGAGAGAGAGAAAAGGAGAAAGAGAGAGAGAAAGAGGGAGGGAAGGAGGGAGAGAGAGAGAAAGACAGAGAGAGAGACCCTCACTTGGGGACATTTGTCCAACTTGTTAGGTCTGGCGTCTCTTCAAAGTTTTTTTTTTTTCTTTCTTCCCCCTAAATTTGGCAAAAGGATAAATAACGTTTCTTTTCTCTGTCGGGGGATTCAAAAAATGCCTTCCTCTCTCATGTTGGGAAAAGCAGGCCCCATCCTAGCAAAGGAAGAGCCGTTTATTGTGGGCAGCGCAACAGACAAGATACGCTGGGTTGGAATTGCTGGGGGGGGGCGGGAGAGAACTGGTGGGGAGGGAGGAACCTCCATTGCGGTTTAAGATTTGGGGTTGCGAAAAGGCCTTGCCTTTGTTTTTTTCTTGGAAATTACCCGGTTGCATTGGTTGAGATGGCTTTCGGGCCTTTCAAACAAAAAAAACCACCTCCGAACCTTAAAAGGAAGTTGAAAGTTAATGTTTGCTGATTCCCCCCCCCCAGCAGAAAGCTGTTCTGAGATTAGGTTTCTCTTTTTCAGATAGTTTTTGAGAAAGAAAATGAAAAGTTTCTTGGCTGGGCAAGCGTTGGGGTGTTGCTGGCATGCCTGTGTGAATCTGGCAGATGAAATGACAACCGTTTGTCTGAGTTGCTCTAGGGTCTCCTGCTTAAGCAGGGGTCAGACTAGAAGACCTCCAAGGTCCCTTCCCGCTCTGTTATTCTGTAATTCTGAGATTCCGCTAAACAAATAATTTCCTCAACACTGTCAAACTATTCACTAAGTCTGCATTACTATTAATCTTCTCATCGTTCCCACCACCCATCTCCTCCCACTTATGACTGCATGACTGTAACTTTGTTGCTTGTATCATTTGTATCCTATGACTATCATTAAGTGTTGTACCTTATGATTCTTGACGAACGTATCTTGTCATTTATGTATACTGAGAGCGTATGCACCAAAGACAAATTCCTTGTGTGTCCAATCCCACTTGGCCAATAAAAAACTCTATTCTATTTTCTGAGATTCTGTAATTGTGTAAGGGTCTCCTGTTTGAGCAGGGGGTTGGACTAGAAGACCTCCAAGGTCCCTTCCAGCACTGTGATTCTATCATTCAGTTACTCTGTTTAGGATTTTCCCTCCCGGCATGATAAAGTCTGCTGAGCCTGGTGGCGCAGCAGACTAATAGCTGTTATTAACATTCAGCTGCCTGCAATTACTGCAAGTTCGAATCTCCCCAGGCTCAAGGTTGACTCAGCCTTCCATCCTTTCTAAGGTAGGTAAATTGAGGACCCAGTTTGTGGGGGCAATAAGCTGACTTTGTATAAAATATACAAAAGTATGAAGGCTATTGCTTAGCGCATTGTAAGCCGCCCTGAGTCTCCAGAGAAGGGCGGCATATAAATCAAATTAAAATAAATAAAAATAAATAAATAAAATAGCACCACCGAAGCATGCAAAGATTCTACAAAGGTGACTATGGTTGAGTTTAAATACCTCTGAAAATAAAATAAAGAATTGCAATTTTTAGGTGCCGTCGATAGGCCTAAACACAACACTCTTCAATATTCTCTTGCATTTTCCCATTGGAGAACAGGATTTTTTAACAGATTAACAGAGTTCGAAGGGACTTTGTAGGTCACCCCCCCCCCACCAAGCAGGAGACCCCTACACAATTGTAAAATCACAAAGCTGGAAGGGACCTTGGAGGTCTTCTAGTCCAACCCCTTGCTCAAACAGGAGACCCTTACCCAATTATACAACCATCTTTTATTTATTTCATTTTGCATTATTTTACGCTGTGGATGGTTTTCTTTTTTTCTTTTTTTTTTCTATTCTTCTCTCTCTCTCTCTTTTTTTTACTTTGCTAGCAGCAGCGAAAAGCCAGCATAGTTCCGTTCTGTGTATTTATGGCAGGGCTAAATGTAGAGCATTTGATTCAGGCCTGGTTGTCCTCATTTCGTCAAAAACAAGGAACTGAAAAAAAAAAAAAAGGCTCAGAACCTGGCTGATGCATTAATGTGGCCGCATCTTTTTCCTTTCCCCGGTGAAAGTAAGAAGCAGAGACAAATGTTGATTCTCGGAGTTGAAGTCAGCTTTGGGTGATCATCAAAGGGGAGAAGACTAATTGTAGGGTACGATTGCCAAAATAAAGCATGCTCGGAGGGCACCAGCTAAGCAACTCCAGACCAAGTCAAAGGAGCATTACCGTGTTTCCCCGAAAATAAGACCCTGTTTTATATATTTTTTTTGAACCCTGAAATAAGTGCTTGGCCTTATTGCCGTGCACTCAAAAGCCCGATTGGGCTTATTATCAGGGGGGTCTTATTTTGGGGGAAACAGGGTAGTCTGGGAAGTTGCACATGGTTTGCATGGTCCTAGCTTCGATTCTTGTCTTCGTAGGAACCACACCTAGAATCCGGCATCCAGTTTTGGTCACCAAACTGTTAAAAAGATGTGGAGACTCTGGAAAGAGTGCAGAGGAGAGCAAACATGATGATTAGGGGGCTGGAGGCTAAAACATTCGATGAACGTTTGCAGGAACTGGGCATGGCTAGTCTAGTGAAGAGAAGGACCAGGGGAGACAGGAGAGCATCTTCCAATATTTGAGGGGCTGCCACAGAGAAGAGGAAGGGGGTCAAGCTATTTTCCAAGGCACCTGAAGGCCAGACAAGGAACAATGGATGGAAACTGATCCAGAAAAGATTCAACCTAGAAATAAGGAGAAATTTTCTGACAGGGAGAACAATCAACCCATGGAACAGAAGTTGCCTTCAGAGGTTGTGGGAGCTTCATCACTGGAGGCTTTCAAGAAGAGACTGGACTGCCGTCTGTCAGAAATGGTGTAGAGTCTCCTGCTTGGCCAGGGGTTGGTCTAGATGACTTACAACTCTGTTCATCTGATAATCATTCTGTCTAGGGAAAAATAGGAACCAGGAATGAGAAAGAGGCCTAGTTAAGAATTGGGAGAATCATTTTAGTGATGATGATGATGATGATGATGGTATCCATTCCATTGAGTTTGACTCTTGGTGATTCTGTGGGCCAGGTTTCTCCACGTCTTCCAATCTTGCGCTAGATACCAACCAGAGCTCTTCTGGACTCTGGCTGGTATCAGCTTTGAATGGTGTCCAGCCTCACCTTGGTTTCTTTTCTGAGATCAGACAGTTTCACCCAGGGAGCTTCCATCTGCCAGGCTCTTTCAATACTAACAAGATTTAAATGGAAAATCCCTCAAGGAACGTTCCGTAGAGCCATCCCATCCCATCTGCCCACTGAAGCTCTTCTTCCGTTTGAATTTTGAACTTTCTCCTGGATTCAAGTTCACCGATAAAGCTCTAGACGAAAGGCAATACACTTGTGGCCTTGGGTTTTTAACCACAGCTGCTTCACTTCTTGGAAAGTTGTGTGTTAACTGCATGTGAAGAAGCCAGATATCCCTTGCTGGACTTTAAAAAAAACCAGCCACATTCAGTGCTTTCTCTTTCAAAACATTGGATAATCTTCCCAGCGTCTTTCCAGTTTCCTTTGGGTTTTCTGCAATTTCAGAGAGACAATTTATACAATATCTCCCTCCCTCCCTCCCCTTCTTCCTTCCTTCCTCTCTCATTCTCCTATCATGTAGGCTAAAAAATGGGAACGATCTTCCTTCCTTTTCCTTCCTTCCTTCCTTTCTTCCTTCCCCTTCCTTCCTTCCTTCCTTCCTTCCTTCTTCCTTCCTTCCACCTTCCTTCCACCCACCCACCCACCCACCCTCCCTCCCCTTCGTCCTTCCTTCCTCTCTCATTCTCCTATCATGTAGGCTAAAAAATGGGAACGATCTTCCTTCCTTTTCCTTCCTTCCTTCCTTCCTTCCTTCCTTCCTTCCTTCCTTCCCCTTCCTTCCTTCCTTCCTTCTTCCTTCCTTCCTTCCACCCACCCACCCATCCTCCCTCCCCTTCTTCCTTCCTTCCTCTCTCATTCTCCTATCATGTAGGCTAAAAAATGGGAACGATCTTCCTTCCTTTTCCTTCCTTCCTTCCTTCCTTCCTTCCTTCCTTCCTTCCTTCCATCCTTCCTTCCTTCCCCTTCCTTCCTTCCTTCCTTCCTTCCTTCTTCCTTCCTTCCTTCCACCCTCCCTCCCTCCCTCCCCTTCTTCCTTCCTTCCTCTCTCATTCTCCTATCATGTAGGCTAAAAAATGGGGACGATCTTCCTTCCTTTTCCTTCCTTCCTTCCTTCCTTCCTTCCTTCCTTCCTTCCTTCCTTCCTTCCTTCCTTCCTTCCTTCCTTTTCCTTCCTTCCTTCCTTCCTCCCTCTCTCCCTCCATCCCTCCCCTCCCTCCCTCCTTCCTTCCTCTCTCTCTCTCTCTCTCCCTCCATTCCTATCCCTCCTCCCTCTGTCTCCGAGAGCCTTATGGAGGGTATAAATACAAGCAGTCAGTCAACACAGCCACCTACCCGAAGCTTAACACGACCTTTATTTCTGACCCAAATTTTATGAGAGATCGATCAGCCAAATCAAACTTACTGTATAATTCCTCCCAGACTTTGCTCCTACACGTGGTATTTTCCTCAAATGTAAATAGTACTGGTGTGGTTGAGTCTTGTCTCCCTAGAGAATGCAAAGGAAACTGTTGTGGTCTGCCAGCAGCCTGTGGAGCTGGCAGCAGGGTCAGACAGTGAGGAGGCTGGGGAGGAACATGGGCCAGTCCTGGAGTCTGGGGAAGGCTCGGAGGAGGGCTCTGCATCGGAGGCAGAGAAAGGGCCATCTGGGAGTTATGTGCTGCCTCCTGAGCCTCCAGAGTCGGACCTCAGCGAGGCAGAGGAACAGGGGGAGCCTGTTCCCAGTGCGCGCAGGCGCAGAGCTGCCAGAAAGCAAGAACAATTAAAACAAAAGGGACGACTCAGGAGTAGGGCTTGGAGATGATTGGCCCCTCTCATAAGACTTTAAAGAGGAGCAAAGGCACTTGGGCCTTTGCAGGAAGCAACATTTGTTCATTCGGTTCAGTTTAAAGCCTGAAGCTCTGTTTGATTCTGGACTCCGTGTGGCTTTACCAAGTAGGTCTTTGACAGCATGTCAAGGGAGATAAAGGTGGATGATTATCCTGAAGGACTTCTCCCGAAGGACTCTACAACTAATTGGGACTCATCTGTGAATGAACGTAATTCACAGCTGTTGCAATAAAAGAGGTTTTTGGGACTACTTGTGTGTTTTAATGACTCAGGAACAGAGTTGGGTTCTACTTACCTTTACTACCGGTTCGCAACAGGGCCGCGCATGTGCTCTTCTGTGCATGCGCAGAAGCATTTTGATGAGGTTGGGGTCGGTGGGCGGAGCCTCCCGCCGGTTTTACTACCGGTTCTATAGAACCGGTGCGAACCGGGGGCAACTCACCACTGCTCAGGAAGCCTAGATCAGAAGAGATAATTTCACATAGGATGGGGCCGTGGTTTTTTCTAGTCCTCGTTATCTGGAACAATTGATCTGTTAGAAATGTGGTTCTGGTTCAGATCACTTCCAGGACTCGTCTTTCTTTAGATGTTTGAAAGAGACAAATATGGAGCGAGCACTGTTAATAGCTAAAGATAGACCTATTGTTGAGCAGGAAAGACCAGAGTACATGAGAAGGTCCAATTAGGATTGATTGCTAAACAGCCAAGGGACAGGAATCTTCTCGACTAACGGTTAACACCTGGTTGGAGTTATATAAGGGCCAGTCGCTCTCAAGAGGGGATAGGTTTACACCGCTTGTGGCTACGTAGAGATACCAAGCTGAGTTCTCTTTTAACTCCAACCCAGGTTCTGCCATTTCTTCTTCTACATCTATTCATGGTGGACAACTCTGAAAGAAAGATTTGGGGTTTGTGGTTTTTTTTCCCCCTGGGCTAGTGTTGCTCTATATCTGTGATGGCGAACCTGTGGCACACGGAGCCATATCTGTGGGCATGCGAGCGTTGCCCTAGCTCAGCTCCAGCGTGCATCTGCGTGATTTTCCGGCCTTCCGGGCCCACCGGATGTTGGAAAACGGGCTGTTTCTGGCCTCCGGAGGGCTTCCAGGGGGTGGGGAAGGCCATTTTTGCCCTCCCCAGGCTCCTAGAAAGCATCTGGAGCCTGGGGAGGGCAAAAAAAGAATGGAACTACTGGGCCCACCGTGCCATCACGTGCCAAAAGTAGGGGAACACTTTTGGCAAGTGACAGCAAAAAGGTTAGCCATCACTGCTCTATATTTTTTGGGTGCCACAAGTATGACTTGAAAGCACTGAGCTGTTTTTGAATAATTTGTTCCAGATGGACCCACATCGAATTTCTGAAGAGGATGCCAACTGCTTAAGGTCCTTCCTGAGACTTCAAGGGAATGTGGATCTGCCAGAAGCCACCTTGGCCAACCAAGAGGCACGGCTGTTGTCTGAATCGTGTCGAAGGATGAAGCAGGCTTTCCAGAGAGTAATGCAAAAGGTCAGTCTACTCCAGGTTGGAAGTTGGTGGAAGTTTTTTTTTTTAAATTTGATTTATATGCCGCCCTTCTCTGGAGACTCAGGGCGGCTTACAGTGCGTTAAGCAATAGCCTTCATCCTTTTGTATATTTATACAAAGTCAGCTTATTGCCCCCACAAACTGGGTCCTCAATTTACCTACCTTAGAAAGGATGGAAGGCTGAGTCAACCTTGAACCTGGCGAGATTCGATCTTACTTTAATTGCAGACAACTGGTGTTAAATTACAGTGCTTCTGTCTGTTGAGCTATCCACAGTTGCCTTAGACCTTTTCTGCATCATACAGAAGCCCCACATTGGAAGTAAAATATAAAGAATGCTCGTCTTTCGAGTGTGGTCTTGTGAACTCAACTAATCTATGGAGTATAATAAACTCCATTCTTCCTTCAAAACAAGGAGGAAGTAATACAGACTAGAAGACCTCCAAGGTCGCTTCCAGCTCTTTGTACTGTCGTTAAGTGAAGGCCTTTCATGGTTTCCTTGAAAGGACAACTACAACAGATTACAGATTAACAGAGTTGGAAGGGACCTTGGAGGTCATCTAGTCCAACCCCCCACCCATGCAGGAGACCCTACACCATTTCTGACAGAGGGCAGTCCAGTCTCTTCTTGAAAGCCTCCAGGGATGAAGCTCCCACAACTTCTGAAGGCAACTTCTGTTCCATTGAATATAGAATAACAGAGTTGGAAGGGACCTTGTAGGTCATCTAGTCCAACCCCCCACCCAAGCAGGAGACCCAACACCAATTCTGACAGGTGGCAGTCCAGTCTCTTCTTGAAAGTGATGAAGCTCCCACAACTTCTGAAGGCAATTTTTGTTCCATGGGTTGATTGTTCTGACTGTCAGAAAATTCCTCCTTATTTCCAGGTTGAATCTCTCCTTGATCAGTTTCCATCCATTATTCCTTGTTTGGCCTTCAGATGCCTTGGAAAACAGCTTGACCCTTTCCTCTCTTTGGCAGCCCCTCAAACATTGCAACACTGCTATCATGTCTCCCCTGGTCCTTCTCTTCACTGGGCTAGAATAAACATCTTGAAAGCTTCCAGTGATGAAGCTCCCACAACTTCTGAAGGCAACTTCTGTTCCTTTGGTTGATTGTTCGCACCATCAGAAAATTCCTTCTTATTTCCAAGTTGAATCTTTCCTTGTTCAGTTTCCATCCATTGTTCTTTGTCTGGCCTTTGGGTGCTTTGAAAAAAAAGAACATCATACAAGTTGGGAAAATTTCAAGACAGGGTTGCTTGAAAGGAGACGTTCTCTGCAAGGTTCTCTCAACTCTTAGAGGCCCCAAAATCAAAAGTTTGATACCTCCTCAGCATTACAAACCACATCCATTTTAGAAACACCTGACCAGATTGGCAAGAAGGAAACTTGGCATCTGCCTCTTAACCCAGAGCATCCTGTTTCGAGCGCGATTCTCACCGGGTTTCTAATGAGCTTCCTCGAGAAGAAGGCGGTGGGGTTACAGGAAGTGTAGCAACTCAACTGTCTTCCTTCTAATATATATTCCCAAAGAAGATAAGGCTTTAATTTCCTTTGAACTGCCTTCCTGTGAAGCGTTAGGCCCGTTCCTTGGTGAGAGAGGATCTTAACAGTTGTTGTTTCAACAACAGCCTTCTAAATTTTTATTTATTGGGGGACTAACCATGACAAGTACAGGTAGTTCTCGACTTATGACCACAATTGACCCCTCCCTGAATTTATGTGGCTAAGTGAGAAATTTGTTAGGGGAGCTTTGCTCTGTTTTACAACATTTCTTGCCACGATTGTTCAGTGAATCTCCGCAGTTCTTAAGTTAAGAATGGCTTTCCCATTAGCTTGTCTGGTTAGAAGGTCGCAGAAGGGGATCACATGACCCCGGGACACTGCAACTGTCATAAGTCCGAGTCAGTTGCCAAGCCTCTGAATTTTGATCACGTGACCCTGGGGATGTTGCAACGGTCACAAGTGTGAAAAATGGTCGTAAGGCACTTTTTTCAGTGCCGTCGTAACTTCGAACGGTCACTAAAAACGAACTGTTGTAAGTCGAGGACTAGTCATGCAGCTTTATTTAGCCCTTTTTCAACACTGGCCACTCTGGATCGCAGCAGATCCTGCCACGGTGCGCTGAATTCACAAGGAATCATCATCACCAAATATGGAGCAGGCAATACATCTACTCAACGGTCTTTAAGATAATTTGCTCCTTTTAGGCATCTCTCCTTGTCGAGCTCTATTTTAAAACTAATTAGGATGTGATCTAAGGGTGCCTTGGCAGGGTAGTAGACTCCTTGTGTAGGAATCTGTTGGCTCATTTCTTTTTTTATTGCTGGCTAGAGGAAAAAAAAAATCTGGCAAGGGGTTTTAATTGAACTGATGATGATTAAGGACCTGGAGACCAAAACGGATGAAAAACGCTTGCAGGATTTGAGGATGGCCAGTCTAGAGAAAAGAAGAACTACCGTGTTTCCCCGAAAATAAGACCCTGTCTTATATTTTTCTGAACCCCGAAATAAACGCTTGGCCTTATTTTCGGGGAGGTCTTATTATTTTGGGGCGCATGGAGCAAGACGGGGCTCCTCTTGCCGTCTTACCTGATTTCCAGCTCTGTCTCCCTAACCCTAACCAGAGGAAATGGCGGGGACTGGATGCGCATGTGTTTAAATATTTTCGGGGAGGGCTTATTTTTTCGGGAGAACATGGTAGGGGGGGATATGACGGCAGTCTTCTAACATTCGAGGGGCTGCCACAAAGAGGAGGGGGTCAACCTATTCTCCAAAGCACCAGAAGGCAGGAGAAGAAGCAACGGATGGAAACTAATCACTGTTCCATGGGTCGATTGTTCTCACTGTCAGAAAAGTTCTCCTTATTTCCAGGTTGAATCTCTCCTTGGTCAGTTTCCATCCATTATTCCTTGTCTGGCCCTCGGGTGCTTTGGAGAATAGGCTGACCCCCTCTTCTCTCTGACAGCCCCTAAAATATTGGAAGACTGCTATCCTGTCTCTCCTGGTCCTTCTCTTCACTAGAATAGCCATGCCCAGTTCCTGCAACTGTTAGAATAGAATAACAGAGTTGGAAGGGACCTTGGAGGTCTTCTAGTCCAACCCCCTGCTTAGGGGAGGAAACCCTACACCACTTCAGACAAATGGTTATCCAACATCTTCTTAAAAATTTCCAGTGTTGGAGCATTCACAACTTCTGCAGGCAATTTTTTCCACTTATTCATTGTTCTATATGCTCCTTAGTTCTAAGTTGCTTCTCTCCTTGATGAGTTTCCACCCGTTGCTTCTTGTCCTGCCTTCAGGTGCTTTGGAGAATAGTTTGACTCTCTCTTCTTTGGGGCAGCCCCTGAGATATTGGAAGACTGCTATCATGTCTCCCCTAGTCCTTCTTTTCATCAAACTAGACATACCCAATTCCTGCAACCGATCTTCATATGTTTGAGCCTCCAGTCCCCTAATCCTCTTTGTTGCTCTTCTCTGCACTCATTCTAGAGTCTCAATATCTTTGTAATAGTGTGTGTAAGAATGCAGTATTCTAGGTGTGGTCTTATTAAGGCTTTATAGAGTGGTATTTAAGAAGCTTTTTAAGAAGAGGCTGGGCAGCCATTGGTATAGCGTCTTCTGCTTGAGAAGGAGGTTGGACTAGAAGACCTCCAAGGTCCCTTCCAACTCTGTTATTTTGTTAAGCGTTCTGTGAGATGGGCAGCTGGTCTTGATTTTCAGCTGTGTTGACACCTGTAGTTGATAGACAGGATGTAGAAGAATGGCGTGGAAATGAGCAGCATTAATGTGTGATTAGGGAATTTCAGCTACTAGGAAAACGATTTGGGAGACGCAGTCTTGGTGACAGTGAGGTGAAGAGAGGAAAAAGCAATTAAGTGGATCAGTGGAATTTGAAGGCCATTAATTGAAGATGTTCTGGAGTCCTCTGAAGAAGGTCAAAGTTCAAAGCCAGTAGCCAGTTCTTAAATGGATTTGTGGAACCATCCGGCCTTGGCCAATTACAGTGAAATGTAGACCAGCAACCACACAAGGAGATTCTTTAAATTCTCCGCTCACGTCAAGGAGTCTTATTTCCACTCAGACGTGACCAACAGTGTTTCCTTCTCAGTTCTTGGCAAATGGGAATAAAACCCCCGGCTTATCAAATGGATTCGAGCCACATCAACACGACGGTGTTTTTCTTTCCTGCTGGCTTGGTGACTTTTTTTGTGTGCAAGACCTCAGAAGGTCTTTCGCAAACCACATTCATCCCAGGGAAGGCGGCCATCCCTTTGGCAGGAGACACGCCCTGGGATACGTTGGTCGGCTCGAGGGAGCCTTTTTCCGTTCACCTTGGCAGCCATCCCAGGAGCGGACAGCTGAGGGGACCTCGGTCAGGCTTAGACTTGTCTCTGCCCTTGGCAACCGAACACTTCACCTCCGGTGGAACCTCAGGAGGGCCTCTCCTCAGGAGACGCTTGCGTAGACTGCTTAAGGAGGCTTGACGTTGGAGCTCTGGGGGTATTTATAGAATCTGGCCATGAAGGTCTGGTCTCGTGGGCTTCATTGATGACTTAAGGGAGGTTGTGAAGGAGATATGGGACACCAAGGGCCATTTGTGATCTTTTCTTTCTTTCTTTCTTTCTTTCTTTCTTTCTTTCTTTCTTTCTTTCTTTCTTTCTTTCTTTCTCTCTCTCTCTCTCTCTCTCTCTCTCTCCCTCCCTCCCTCCCTGTTTCCTCTTCTTCTCCTCCTCCTCCTCTTCTTGCTCTTCTTCTTGTTCTTGTTCTCCTCCTCCCTTCTTCCTCCCTCCCTCCCTCCCCCCTTCTTCTTCTTCTTCTTCTTCTTCTTCTTCTTCTTCTTCTTCTTCTTCTTCTTCTTCTTCTTCTTCTTCTTCTTCTTCTTCTTCTTCTTCTTCTTCTTCTTCTTCTTCTTCTCCTCCTCCTCCTCCTCCTCCTCCTTCTCCTCCTCTTCCTCCTCCTCCTTCTCCCTCCCTCCCCT